TGCTCCAGGCCCTGCCACTCATCAGCTTCTGCCCCTGACTTCTTAAACTGCCCCATGTCCATGGGGAGGGGCTCATGGCATCTCCCTGGAAAGGGAGGGGGAAAGAATGCCAAGTGCTGACAGACACAGGAAATGAAATGGGAAATGGGAACACTTCTGACAAAGTGGGTGTAGCCCGAAGTATTTCGGTCAGCGTACTTAAAAGAGGGTAGAATGTAGAAGCGCAGAGTCAGCTGTTCTCTTCCCTTGGGGTATGGAGTTTGAAGTCCTCTTATGCAAGTTTTGTGAAGTCAGAGTAGCGCTCTGAAAACACTCGGTGCTCGCCAGAAATGGTGAACCCTCCTGGAAGTGACAGTGTGGGGAAGAGCAGGGCTCCGTCTGACTGTGAACAGAAGTGCTTCCCTCCCCTGGAGCACAGGAATGAGCTGCTGGAGTGGTTCTGCATAAACAGATAAGAAAACGCTGCTTTTTGTGTTTGCTTTTATTTGGTAGAGCTCCAAGTAAGGAGCTGCTGGAGGTGAGAGATCTCTGTGCCGTCTGGAAAAGATATTATGAAGGTCACTGGCTTTTGCAGGGAAAATAGCAGTTTTCTGCTTTGCAGTGTTAATGATCTTGCCTTCTTGTTCAGAGCAGTGCTGTATAAATGTGTGTGTTGCTGGACCTCTGGGCAGAGTTAAGCTGAGTCTTTTGGGGGTGTGCTGAGCCGTGGGCAATGTGAGGAGCCTTGCAGCAAAACTGGAAGCTTGATGGCTTTGTTCAGTTCGTGGTTGGTCCGGGCTGCGCTTGTGCCTCCTTGTCTGAACCAGGGCTGAGCTCCTGTGGTATCACGGCTGTAATTAAACCTAGTGAGACCTCCAGAAGGGAGTTAGTGTGGAGCAGGGAACAGGGAGGCTTTGCCCCCCACAGCTCAAAATGAAGGTGATGCAAAACCCTCCCACTGAGGTCTGATGCTGCCATTTGTGCCGCCTTGGGCCACTTCTCCTTCCTCTCCCCCAGATCCATCTGTGGTGCAGTGTACCCAGAGCTTGGCTGGAGTGGTGCTGAGAGCTGGCTTTGGTGGTCCTCTCGTGTGGATCCGCTGTGGGTTCAGCACAGGGTTCGGTGCCCTGGTCACAGCGTGAGCGTTGTCCCTGTCACACCGCATGGCCAGGCCCTCGCCGCCTGTTCCTGTGCTCAGCCGTGGGGATCGCACAGGACATGACTGTGTTTTACTGCCTTTAGTCATGGGGTTCTGCGGAATTAAAGCCGACCGGATTAGGCAGGGAACTGCCTTGTGCTGCCAGTGTGACCAGCACGGTGATAACTCCTATTGCTGGCACCTCCTCAGCTCGAGTATAAAACAAAACTGTAGCTCCAAGGTAGCATCAGTAAGTGTAATGGGTGCTTACCTCATGGGATGTTTCAGTAATTCCTGGTAAAGGATAGACCTAGAAACCCTGCTGGGGGATGTGTATGGGGTTAAACTTGCTCCAAAGCAGCTTGAGGGAGCTTCACGACTCCCTTTACTGACCAAGCACGGCACTTGTCAGCTCAGTCATGCGGGCTGTGGTCTTTGCCTCGTCTCCCTGGGTCAGTCAGTGTTGCAGGGTGCACGGCTGTTCCTGGCCTTGTAGTTCAGCAGTCGTGGAGCTGACTCGCCCTGTTCCAGCTGGTGACATCTAGCAGATGAGGTGGTCTCACCCCGAGCAGCAGCTCTCTGTGCTCAGCAGCGAGTCCTGGGCTGTAGATGGTCGTGTCCGAGCACAGCGCTGCAGATCCTCAGCTTGGCCGCTCATGTCCCAGGGCCTCATGAGTGAGTTCACTGCTCATCGTCTCTGCCCTGGGTTGGGTGGTGACTGCAGGGCAGCGGCCTTGAAACCCCTGGTGATAGCGTTGTTATTGAGAGGCTGTTTTGGAAAACGGCGGCTGCTGGGGCTGCTTTGGAGGCCTTGGCTCTGCAGATGTTGGGGACAGCCGTGTGTGTGAAAAGCATGAGAAGGAGCTGGCGGTACAGATCCTGCTGTACTTGTGCAGGACTGCAGCTATCAAAAAAATGTAATTTAAATTTATTTTTACCCTGGGCAGTGCAGTCTGTGCTGGTCTGGGGGGGTCCCACACTCGCTACTGCCCTGTTTGTGGAGTCTGCCTGTGGGTCTGTGTCCCCAAGCTGAATTCCCAGCTCTGGGTGGGAGCAAGGCAGCACGAGCAGTGGCCAGCTGCCCGCTCAGCGTTAGGTGAAGCAGAACCTCTCGGTAACTTCAGGGGTTGCTTCGCCAAGAAATTCATGTAATGCTGTCAGCTATTTAACAAGATAAATACTTCACTGGAGCTTTTGTCTTGAGTATTTTGATTCCAAGCCAACAAATCCCTGGTGAAATGGCTTCTTGCACAGCTGAGAGCGGAAGCGGCCCTCTTGGGTAACTGGATTCTTCAGGATTGGGTTTCTCAATATCACCAACTTGGAGTAGTCCTTGCTCCTGGGTGAACAGAGGGCAGAAATATCAGATTCAGAGCTTCTGACACTGAAACTGGCAGTTTTCAGCGTGGGGACCCTGTGCAGCGACTGCAGGGGTTTACGGTGAAAGTTTACAGTAGAGCTTGGTACTTTCCTCTGTGATGCAGGGCTCCCGCACATGGCTCAGTGAGCAGGAGGTGAGTAGGACAAGCAAACAAACCCGCACCCCCTTCTTATGGGTCTTGTGCCATCGCAAGTGCCGGGTTCCAGCAGTTACAAGAAGCTATTAGAAAAACTAGTGTTTGTTAATCTTGATTGCAAGGTTCCCCTATCACACCTGTCCTCATGGTGCTGACTCCGCGTGTTGGCACAGCAAGCTGCAGCCCTGTAAATTGCACCCAAACATCCCAAAGATGTGGCAGCCTCTCAGGTGTACATGGAGCCACGTAACCCTGCGGCCAACCTGCAGACCAGGCTCTGTGTAACCGAGAGTGCTCAAGGCTGCTGCTCCTTGGCCGCTCGCTGTCTGTGATGAGTTGGACACACGGACATGTTTGCCTGGTTGTGTTTTGGTTCACATCGTTCAACCAGATGGCAAAATGAGTGGAGATCTGTGAAATGTGGGTCATGCTGAGATGTGGAGGTGTCACCAGGCTGGTTTCCTTGTTTCACTTGGGGATTGCCCCTGTTGCATTTCAGGAGGTCGTGGCTGGGTAGAGGCATGATTCACGTGGTGCTCAGTGTTGGGCTGAAACAGCACCGGCGCTCGTGTGCTGCCGACAGCCTGCCCTGGAAACAAGTGCAAGGTTAAACAAGCAAAAGCTGTTCCTGTGCAAACTCTGCTTAGAGGAGAAACTCTGAGAGGAGGAGACGTCTTCAGGCTGGTGGAGATGCAGAGCTGCTGCTGCGCCTCTCGGGCCTGCTGGTAACCAGACTGCAAAGCGCTGCTTCCTCCCTGTCCAGCAAAACCAGTTGTGCTCCTGTCGAGATGTCAATCCTGTGCAGTGCTTGTCCTTCCTCAGAGAGCAGGCGGGTCCTGACAGTGCTGACCTCTGCAAGGACCCAGCTCTGACCGGCAGCTCCTTCACTGATGTAACCCATGGCTGCACAGGCCCCTTACAGCTACGGCTTCCTCACAGCTGCTGAAACACCTCACTGCACCGGGGTTTCTCCTGTCTTTCTCCTGGTTTGTGAGCAGTGCTGGCTCAAGGGTAGGTCCTGAGCTGCCTCCTGGTCAGAGCAGTTTGAGGTCGAATGTCTGAGGTCAGGGTATGCTCAGGTGCTTTTGTGCTGTGAAAGGAGGTTCCCAAGGGCTGTCCCTGCAGAAGAGCTCAGGCTGAAATGGCCCCTTGTCAAGCCTTGGGGCTAGGTTTAAATGTGAGATGTGGTTAAACTGCCCTCGCAGCAGTCGCAGTGGGACAGGTGCTGCTCTGCAGGGAAGATTTTGGGAACTCATCTCTGTAAGGTTGTGTGGAGCAGGCCTGAGTGTGGCTCACAGCACACACTGCTCCTGCTCAGACCCACTTTGACTTGCTTTAAGCTTCTTCTTCATAGAAATCTGGTATTTGCTGGGTAAATGCTGGATGTACTCAGCACACCCAGAGTTGCTTTGGGGGTCCATTCAGAACAAGGAGAAATTGGCTTCTGGGGGGATATTTTTTCCTCCTTTTGCAGTTGTCTCCCTCAACAAGGAGCCTGGGTTATGAGAGCTGGGAGGAAAGTGGCAATGCAGAGCAGATGCAATCAGTTGTAGCATTTATCATTGATGGGAAGTGGGAGTTGCGATGAGCACAGGAAATGTGCCTGGATCTGTAGAGCTGCTCCCAAAGTGCTGCTGTGCTCTGCTGTGCGTGGCTGAGCTGCTTAGGAGGGTGCTGAGACTTCACCTGTGGTTACTGGTGCATGGGGGCTGCTGGCTGTAAGAGCCCATTTGCAGCAGAGATGGGCAGCGATTGCCTTCAGTCTGAATACGCAGCCCGTACCTGGTGCTGGCTGCCTGCGTGTCCATTCGAGGGCCTTCCCCAGGACCGCTCTGAGGTGCCGTATTTAATGCCCTGGTGTGAGTGGCTGTGAGTGAACTGGCTGAGCACAGACTGCCTTTGTCGCAGTGCTGTGTGCTCTGACACACAGAGCTGCTCCCATAGTGCCTACATGACATTGTGCTGCATTGACAGTCTGAAGGTGCAACCCTGGACTCAGGAGAGGAGGAAGGAGCTAAAGGTCAACCTCCATCACCTCCATGAAGGAGTAATTGTTGTTTTAATAGACGAGGCTCTAATAACACCAGTTGCTGCACTGGTTGTTTACTTGCCTCACCCCAGCGAGCTGTAACATCCACACAGTGAAGTGCTGGAGGGCACTGGTGGGAAGGAAGCCTGTGTTAGCAATGGCCCTTTTCCCAGGACCTCAAAGTCCCCAGTGGCACTGTGGTGCCTCCAGTTTAACTTTACGTGGTGACAGGGGGTCACTGCCTGCCTGTGTTGATGGTGCTGACCAAACCCATGGCCCACAGCGGGCAGGGCTGTCCCCAGCGCGTCGCTAACTCTGACTCCTCTTACAGTTGCAGCCGGCCTCCAGGTGGATCCCAGCGCAGAGCCTGCGGTGTCCTGAGCCCTCGGCACTCATCCACAATGGCAGGTCGAGGTGGAGCCGCTCGACCGAACGGGCCGGCTGCTGGGAACAAAATCTGCCAGTTCAAACTGGTGCTGCTGGGGGAGTCGGCAGTGGGGAAGTCCAGCCTTGTCCTGCGCTTTGTCAAGGGACAGTTCCACGAGTACCAGGAGAGCACGATTGGAGGTGGGTGCCAGCCCCGAGGGCTGGGTTGGGAGGTGCTGCCCTCACTAGAGCAGTGCAGGGAGATCAGAAGCAATAACGGCTGTTTCGGTCTGCTCTGGGGGGTTTGCTGTAGATGGAGTCAAGCAGCTGATGCCTTAACTCCTGGCTCACAACTTGTTAGTGTGGAGACCAGCGCAGCAGAGAATAATGCTATGGCAACCGTGCGCTCTGCCTCTGAGGCGTCTTCACTTCCAGGGCTCGAATGCCTGCCTCTAATTAGAACAGAGGCCTTCAGCGTGGCCTTAATCATCTCTTTCAGACCATGACCTGGGATTTGGGGGCTGTTTCTGGCCTGATACCATTAACTACTTCCACAGCTCTTTCAGGTCTCGCGGTTCTTTAGCTTGAAGTCATTAGCTCGGTGCCACTAATTAAAGGTCGGTCGTCACTGGGTCCCTGGGCAGTACTGTTAGGAGGTTTGTGTTGAGGAAAAGCTGGAGGTATCCCCATGGTAACCCCTGCTGTAAGGATGCTCATGGATGAGCAGGGCTCAGTGCTCTGCTGTGGGCACTCTGCATTCTGCTTCTGTCTGTGTCCAGGGCTGGCTTCCTTTATCCTTGCTGTAACGCATGGTATTGTACTCGCTGGACTGGGAAATAACCAGTTACCAAACTGGGGGTGTTTTGGCTCTGAGATGCTCTCCAGAGCTGATCCTGGTGCTGTCTCAGCTGTGCTACATGACCTGTGAGGGGTGTCTGAGGGGTCTGACAGTGCTGCTCCAGCCTGGGCTCTCGGAGCCCCTTCCTGTCAGCTGCAGGGTGGCCCTTGGGCTCCTCTGTGTGAGGAGGTTGATAACAGCAGAGCCTCCGCAGCAAGTGGCACTGCCCTGGGCCGTGTCTGGGGCTGCTGCTCGCTCCCAGGTGGAAGCAGAACTGCTCCGAGCTCCTGGCTCTTGGTGAGGCAAACACACCCCTTCTCTTCCAGCTGCCTTCCTGACACAGACGGTCTGCCTGGATGACACAACGGTGAAGTTTGAGATATGGGACACAGCGGGGCAAGAGCGGTACCACAGCCTGGCCCCCATGTACTACCGCGGGGCCCAGGCAGCCATCGTGGTGTACGACATCACCAACACCGTGAGTATGGCTCAGGGCTGTGCGGGCGCTGGAGCTGATGCCCCTCGGTGCCCCGGGAGGTGTTGGGGTCTGTCCCTGCAGGCGCTGAGCGTCTGAACCTGCCAATGGTCTCTTCCCCCATCCTGGCTGGGGCTGACAAAGGATCCTGCTGCAAAGTGCTGTAGCGGCAGAACGCTCCCGGCAGGAAAGACGTGTTCTGATTGTATCTTCACTGTGGGTTAATAAGGGGCTGCCCTTCCTGACTGCTGCCTCCTGTTTGCTTCCAGGACACATTCGTACGAGCCAAGAACTGGGTGAAAGAGTTGCAGAGGCAGGCTAGCCCCAATATTGTAATTGCACTAGCAGGAAACAAGGCAGACCTTGCTACCAAGAGAGCTGTGGACTTCCAGGTGAGTGGGAATCGGATCAACTGTTAGCTGAGCGAGTCAGGAAAGCAGCCTCTGTGGGAGAGATGGTGGCTGTGTGCAAGTGCTCTGAGGGAGAGTGGAAGTTGAGATTTGTGCTGCTGAGGACCCTAGGATGCCCCTCAGAACTGCAGCTGCCCTTTTCCATGTGGTCCTTTCCCAGTCCTCGTGGCTCTTGTTGGTAGCAGTTGTGAAAAATGTGGAGAGCAAGGCCCACCAGCACCAGTCTTCAGTCTCTGCTGGTCCTTGCTCCTCTGGGCTGTCCTCAGCCGTGTCTGAACCAGCATCTCTTAGACACAGGACACGTGGAGAACCGCTCCCAGCCTGTCCTCTGCTCCTCACGGCTCGTACTGTGTCTGAGACAGACGTTCAAGGAGAAGCTCTTATCTCGGGCGCTGCGCAGGATTGCTTGTGGTGCACTCTGTGCACTGCTGTCCCCGGTAGCCAAAGTACGGGCTGTGGTGCTGCTCGGGTCATGCTGTGTCTGCAGTCGGCTCACAAACAGCCTGTGCTCCTGTACCCGGCTTGGCTGCGGGGACACCGGCAGTGCTGTGCTGGTGGTGGTGGATGTGTCCCAGGGAGGGCCAGGGGATGGGATGGGGACGTGGCCTGGGGTGGGACAGGGTTTCTTTGGTGCTCGGTTTGCCAGGTGAAGCTGTGAAGCCTGCTTGCGCCTCCCCTTGGCAGGATGCCTTTACTGATGTGATTGTTTTTAGGATGCACAAACGTACGCAGACGACAACAGCTTGCTGTTCATGGAGACGTCAGCAAAGACAGCGATGAATGTGAACGAAATCTTCATGGCAATAGGTAACGGCTTGTGTGTGGGGTGCCTGGAGCTGCGCTGAGCGCTGGCGGTGCAGGGGGCTGGGGCTCTCACTGGGGCAGGACCAGTTTGCTGCAGTTGTGTGAGCGGTCACTCCCCGAGTGTTTGGAGCCTTTGCCTTGCAGAGCCAGTTCCCTTGCTCCCATTGGGGTGGTGAGGAGGGAGGGAGCAGCATTGATGGCAGCTGGAGCCAGAAGGGGGTTGGTTTGCTCATGCTGCTCGCAGTGTCCGATCCCAAACCCCGCAAGGGCTGAGGGCTTGGGCTGACCCAGCCTGGGGTCTGCAGCAGGGGGGAGGTTGGGCTCTGCAGAGGAGCCTGCTCTAACCTCTTGTTTCTTTCCAGCCAAGAAACTGCCAAAAAACGAACCGCAGAATGCTCCTGGTGGCTCAGGCAGGAATCGGGTGGTTGACCTGCAGGAGAGCAGCCAGCCCAGCAGGAGCCAGTGCTGCAGCAACTGAGCCCGCCTGAGCCCCCGGCCGTGACTGGAACCCACGCTAACAATCGCACTTACGTAGAGCAGCCACTGCCCGTGACTGCTGTGATTTCTCCATCCCTTTCTGATCATAGGCTGGAGGGAGTTCTTCCACCTGCACCTTTCTGTACAAATACTAATTCAATTCTAAGTCTTAAGTCACTTTTTTAATATATGAACTTCTGCTCTTCCCTCTTCCTGGTGGTGGTGGATGCATGACCTGGTGCCTGTCCCGCGGGGGGCAGCGGCTCCGGGTCCCACAGCACTGTAGTGCACTATTGGAAACAAAGGGATATTGAGGCTGAAACCTGGTCTAAAATTACCCTTGTGTAAAAGCCGAGGCTCTTACCAGTACGATACGCCTAGAACAACCACTAAGCTGTAGCATTATCATGACAAACTCTGGCTTGTCAGCCACTCTTGACCAAATCAGTGATGAGTATTCTGGGGTGGGCAGAGGGAAGCAAAACTGGTTTCTTCTGTATTTTGTATTGTATGTTTCTTCATGTAACCAATCAGTATCTTGTCAATATAGTACATACAACGAGCTGCCTGTTGTCTTTATTTGTGTTGGACTCTAGCATGCCAACTCTTTCATTTTTTTCTATCTCCAGTTCTGTCGTAATGCACTAATCCTGTTGCAACTTTTGCAAAGATCTTGTATAGAAAATTGTCCTTTTTTGATGGTTGTGATGCCACTAATGTTGTTAACCCTACTCTAGTGTGAATACACATGGTTTACCAATGTACAGAGGTGGGGTGGGGGAAACCTCAGAACTTGTCAGTGGAAACAATATGTATTGCAAAAGCCTGTAACTCCACAAAGTATGAAGGGAGGTATTAAAATGGCTTCTGTTGCCAGGCTCTAACTGATGTTGGCTGCTGCCTAGTGCCTAATGCAATGTCTTATGCATACTGGTATTTAAGAGGAACTGTCAACTTAGTCTTCATCACAAACTTCAGTTTTGTGTGATTAAAAAAA